CCGGGGCACCACAGGGCTTGTGGGTTTGCCGGCCCCTGCCGTGGGCTGCCTCCAGCCCTGCCCGTCTCCTCTTGCAGCATTGTGTGTCTGGCAGCTCTCAACAAGTTCCCAGAGAGCCTCTGGATGCTCAACAGAGATCCGGAGGAGGATGTGAGGAACCCTGAGCTGTACGTGCTCCGTGCCTCCTTCTACAAACGCTTTGGGCAGGTATGGCCGCTCCAGTCCCTGAGGGCCCTGCTGTCCCTCCTGGAGGCGTAGGATGCGCTGGGAAGTGCCCGGCTCTGAGGATGCCCGGCTTCCCCAGGCAGCTGGCCCTGTGTCACCGGGACATCCCATGGGCCCTGGAGCTGGAGCTGCAGCACGGAGCCACCGAGGCTCAGAGGTGGAGGCTGCTGAGAGGAAGCCAGGTGGCAGTGGCCAAGGCCCTGTGTGGGGACCTATGTGGAGCCCTGCTTGAGCTCAGCTTTGCCATCGAGAGTGACCTCTCGGCCCCTGAATTCTTCACCTTCAGACAGTGAGAGTGTCACTGCAGCCGGTCTGTCCCATTGGCCTCGAACCTCTCCCATCTCTGTCCTTGTGTCATAGGGGGACCCTCATCCAACACCTCAAGGACTTTAGTGCAGCCCACGAGTTCTTAGCCAGGGTGAGGGAGCTGGGTGTCCCGGGGGGCCCAGAGGCCCGGGAGGCTTGGCAGCAGCTGGCATTCCCCTACAACAACTGTGCCGTGCACTGCTACACCCTGGGCTGATTCAGTGAGGCTGTGATGCTCCTTGGCAAGGCTCTGCAGGACGAGAGGAAGGAGAAGAGGCTCTATATCAACAGAGGAGGCAGGCAGCCAGGCTGGGGATCTCAGCTGGGGTGTCAGCAGTATCTGCACTGGGGCATTGAGTGTGTGCAGGGGAAGGCGGTGACCGAAATGGGCAGTAGGGCCCCTGGGTTCTCCCTTGGTCCTGATCCTGGTTCACAGCTGTGCCTGCCTGGACCTGTTCAGCAGCAGGGAGAGGTACCATGAGCCGGAATTTACCACTGGTGGTTCAGCTCCATCCCCGCATGGCCTGTCCTGGAGGCATGGCTGGGAATGGCTGCTCTCTTCCATACTGGGCTGCATCTCCTGCCTGGCGGAGCTCGGAGCTTTTGGCTAATGATGCTGAAATCTTTGTGGCTGGGTTGGGCTGGACACATGCCGTGTGTGTTTCCCACTGGCACGGAGTGCTTCAGACAAAGCCTGGGGGTGGCAGCCAGCCCCCAGCCGCTCTCATTTAACTGAGACGCCGATGCTGCCTTGCTGCAGACGGCTTCCTTCGCCTGGGGGAGCTGGCTCACTCGCTAGCGGATTACCAGCAGGCGCCGGAGCTGAGCACGAGGGGACCATGCTGTGCGGAGACAGGTTGCAACAGCACTGCATGAGCAGGGATGGCAGGATCTGGTGGCAAGGTGAGCAGGTGGGTTGGTGCGGTCCACCCCAGGGCTGGTGGTGAGCCAGGCTGGTGAGCGTGCTCGCTCCTGTCCCTCACAGGCAGTACTGGCAGGCAGGAGCTCGCTTTTCCATGGCTGTTGAGCACGACTCCCAAAACCCGCTGTACTACCTGTGCCTGAGGCGGGTGGAGAGCACAAAGGAGGATGCTGCCCTAAGTCTGTGGCTCAATCCCATGGACAGGGTCCCCAGGGTCCCCAGAGCCCTGCACTGCTTCCCAATGCCCCCCTCAGGCCATGGGCAATGTTCTCAGCGTGTTGCCTCAACTGCAGTCTCTGTGCTTACCCCTCAGTGTATTTCTGTTCTGCATCAGGTGCCAGCAGCTGATCAAGGATCAGGGGCTGGGGTCAGGGGTCCCTGCCAGGGTGTGGGCCCAAGCCAAGCAGTGAGGGTTATAGCTTGGCTCTTACAAGTGCCAGAGCCGCTGGACAGGTCTCTTTCCTACTTCTTTTAATTTTCCTGTTTTCTTCAACCCTAATTCAGGGCAGAAGCCCTCCTGTATCTGGCTGCAATAAGGGGAACATGTCCACATGGCCACTGCCCAGCCTAGCACCACTCGGGGCAGTGGCATGCCTCAATTGATCTGGGTTTTGTTTGAGGTGAAACCCAGGCTCCTGGGTGGGGCAGGTCCTGGTGCAGCTGGCAGAGCCTTTGCTGGTGGCACAAGGTGGATGCTTGGTTGCGGCGGTGGAAACCCTGTGACTCAGAGCTCACTGTGGGGAAGAGTTTTTCTGTGGAGGAGACCCAGGTCTCACCTTGTCGCCACTGCAGGTCCTTTCCCTTGCATGCTCTTTCCAAGAAAAGCTGTCTGTGCTGTCCTAAAGAGTGAGACTGGATGCCTTGCCCAAGAAACCTTGGAGAAAATGCTTCAGATCCTCCCAGAACTCACCGGTTTGGCTGATGTTGCCTGGTGTGACAGTAGAAACAGGTACGTGCTGGGAGGGGGGTAGTTTGTCTTGGGTGTTAGCCAGTGGTCTCAAATCCCAAGTGCGAGGGTTTCATTTGCTTTGGAGTGCAGTGGCATGTTTCAGAGCTCGCTGCCGAAGTACTCCTACTGGCAAAGGCGGGTTTTGCCCTTTTCTGCTCCAAAAAGTTGGTGGTGGGTTGCTGGATGTCTACACCTGACCTGGGAACCTTGTTCCAAGCAGGAGTCTCACTCCGCCTCAGCCCTCCCAGATAAAGGATTGCTTTTGGAGGTTGCTGCAGGCCTGTAGCATTGCCTTTGCACTGGCACCTGTCCCCATGCTGTGGATGGCACTAGAGGATGATGGAAGGAAGCAGCACCTGAGGGCGCAGGGCTGCATGTGGAGTAGGAGCTGTCTGAGGGACAGCAACTCAGGCGAGCAAGTCTGGGGTGCAGCAGCAGGAGCTTGGATCTTGCACTCAGCCAGCGCACAAAGCGGCTGCGATAGCTGCTGCAGAAATGGGTGGTCTGCCACTGCACCCGCCCGGCACCTCGCCTCGGCCCTCAGCTCCCACGCAAGGCTCACCAGGCAGGCTCCGGAATGGGACTCACACGGGGAAGGAGGCGACGCGGCTCCCACGCCCTGCTGTGCTGGCACCAGTCCTGTGAACTTGGCCTTGGGACCCAGAGATGTGCTCTGCAGTGGGGGAAGAGTGCTGCTGGGGCAGAGTCGGTGGCCTTCCTGGACCTACACCAGCTTCTCTGCGGAGGACGTCTGGCCCAGCTACTGCCCAGCTACTGCTGTTTCACCTCCTCCCCAGGGAAAGGCTGCTGTCTTGTTTCCAGTTACCTAACTGGAGAGCATCAGCTCCATGCTGCTAAATCCCCAAAGTCCCATCAGATCAGGCAGCTGTTCCCATGCAATTGCAAATCTTCCAAGTCCTTCTGTGCTAGCTGCAGTCAGGAATCCAAGTAAAAGACTGTTCCCCAACCATTTTTTTTCCCTAAATGATTTATTTTAAAATTAGAAATACATAACACTTTTGAAAGAGGCAGAAGTTTTGCATCTGTCTGAGGGCCAGCTCCTGGGCAGCATTTGGGTGGTGTAAAACTGCTGTCCCCAAAGCTCCAGCCCTGGAGCTGGAATGGTCCCAAGTCCTGGCAGCTCATTTCAGCATGGGGCCTGAGTGGATCGTCAGGAGCTCTAGGAAGCGTCCCCGCACCCATCCCTCAGGCAGTTTGTTCCTAGAAAGTGAAATGATTCTGGTTTCTCTAACCTGTTCTGCCATAACTGACTGCACAGAGGAGATTAAAACCTGGGCAAAGGCCAGCGGTGCTGTGCACCCCATGCTTGGCAGTGCAGAGCACTTATCTTCTCCAAGTTGTCCCCAGGTCCCCTGTTGTGACACTTCCCAGAACCTGAACGCACGCTGGCCCAGCCAAAGCCTGCCAGGTCTAATCAGCAGAAGAATGTACAAGAGGCTCAACAGCTCATAGCACCAACTCTCAGCTTGCTGTAGAAATCATCACTGAATAAAAGGAATTTTCAAAACCATTAGTGGCACCATGGGCTCCCCTGGAGGTAGGACTGAAATTTTTCATAGCTCAAGTAAAATGATAAATTTTTTTTTTTTAAATTTTTTCATAGTTCAAGTAAAACAATAATTTTTTTTTAAAAAAAATTTTTTCATAGTAAAACAAGTGAGAAGCCTTTTTTTGTTGTTGTTTTTGTTGTTTTCCTGGTTTTCTGCGGGGAAATCCTTTGGACCTTCAGAGAAAGATGGAAAGGGGGTGGCAGGAAGAACCTGGCTCTTGGCAGATCGGATGTTGCCATCTCTCACATTACTCCCCCCATGCTTGCTGATGGTGAAGCTGGTCCCTACCAGCACCTGTTCACTATGAAAGGAGGCTGGAAAGATGTTGGCTCCAAAACTTCCTTGAAAAGAAAACTTTGCTGCAATGTTAAAGGTGTTCGCAGGCCAGCACTGTGGGAGTCAGCACCAGCACTGTCACACTGTACCAAGGAGCTGAGGCACAGCCACGCTTAAAAAGGTTTTAAAAAGCAAAAAGTTAAAATGCTGTAGGAAAGAAATATTCTTCTGTGGGCTCAGAATCTTGGGATATCAATAGCTGCCAGGAGAGGGGAGAGCTGCCAGTGGGTGCTGCTGACAGGGGAAGAAACCTCCCTGATGCTGCAGAAGAAACCTCCCTGATGCTGCAGACCCACTTGGCATCTTCCCCTTGTCGTCACAGATGCCTTGGGTGGTGTGCCGGGCTGGGCGTATCCACCCTCACCTGGCCGAAGGGTGGTGCTTTAAATCACAGTAAAGTGCTTTAAATCACTCGCTTGCACTTGGTCCCACAGCTGCATCCTGCAGTGGCCTCCTTGGGGCTGCAGAGGCAAGCTCAGCAGGAAAGCACTTGTGCTGCCAAGAGGGAACACGCAGCTCCTACTGCTCATCCTGCCAGCCCTGGGCTCTGCCGCTTTACAGCTCCATATACATCCCCTATGGATCTGAGCAAGGCCCTCACCAGCGGCTAGAAGAAAAAACTGATCCGAGAGGCCACTGTTTTGCAGCCTGTTGATGAGAATATTTTCTCCTTTTCTGGGAAGTAGGGGATGCTGTCAGCTACCTCCTGGACAACATCCGGACGTACTTCGAGGCGTTGCTGGACAAGTTCACTGACGACGCACTGCTTTACATGGTGGTGCTTCAATGGGAGGAAGGGCACAACAAAATCAATGAGATGTTCGTTAATGATCCCAGATTTCCAGAATCCACCTGCAAAAGCAAAGGAAGAGACAGATTTTACCCTCAAAGAGTCTCTGCAGTCCCTGAAATTCAAAGAGCTGCTTTGTGCAAAGCCAAAATACTCAGCTGAAGACAGATCTGCTCCAGTTTTGTATGAGGAGAAAGATGAACCTATCAGTTGTCACCCTCCTTCCCCCCCAAGAGACTTGTTCTCCAGGAATGGAGGGATTTAGCTTGACTAGTCAGAATTTAAGCTCTGCTCCCTGTGACAAGGGCAAAGCGAGGAGAACCAGGCAGGCAGTGGGGATTGGTACATCTCGGTGCCTTTCCAGTAAGCGTGCTGTCCTGCCTGCCATCCCCCAACTGTGAATACACCTTGTCTCCAAAGAACTTTGCCAAATGTGGCAACAGGTCTGCTGGCTTGGAAGGCCGGGCTATTCCTTCCCTTTGCCTGGAAACCTCGAGGGGATTGTGATTCCCTTCCCTTAAAACCCCCGCATCCCTTGCTGGCTGCCTGGGAGGTGGCAGGCAGTGTGGGTGGCTGCCTGGAATGGGCCTGGCTCCCTCTGCCAGGCTCTGACCCTGCAGGAAGGGCTCTGCTCCACGGACTCACTCTGAGGGTTTTCAAACACGGCTTTGGAGATGGCCGGCTCCAGGTCCTGCAGGCTGATCTCCTCCCGGTCCTTGCGTGCACGCCAGAGATCCAGTGTCATTTCGATGATCTGCTCCCCTCCTGCGTTGCTGCACAAGAATGAGATGTTTATTTGGTGTGTATCTGGGAAAATGGTGTTGCAGAACAGAGGTGGCACCTGACACCCTCCAGTCTGCACAAGTGCATGCCAGGATCTTCCAGCTGCCTGGCCTAAAATGACTCCCGTAAAGACAGCCAAATTACAGAGACACGAGAACTTTTTCAGACTCTCCAGGTCTGTCTACTCACAATGAAATAGCGTCTCTCGGTATCTGTAGAAACTCAAGGCTCGAAGAAGGAAAAGCAAAAGAAGTGTGTGCTCTGCAGTAGGTATGACCTCTGCCCAGATGAGAAGCGGTGCGCTGGAAGGCCCCGTGATGCTACAGAGGGGCCTCTTACCTTATGAAGATGAAGATTGCTTTGCGGTAGTTGGTCCCGTACACAACCCACGAGGGTCCCAGGAATGGTATGATCACGTCGATCAGGCCCGGGTGCATCTTGTCCATCTCATCAAAGAGAAAGGCTGACCGTCCACAGTTTGTCAAGTTCCCTTGGATCCAGCGCTTCAGGTTTTCCTAGGAAAATACCCACCAAGCTGTAAGGCAGTGAGATACCAAGGTTGGTGAGGGAGGCTTGAGCTGCCCTAGAGCAAAGACTGAGACCTGAGCTCAGGTGGAGCTGAAGGTGCTGAAAGCAGCTTGTCCCTGCACAGCACCACCTACTCAGAGCAGAACAGCCAGAATAACTCCTTTATTCTGGGTTTTGCACAGTGGCTGTTACCAGCTTTATTAGCCCACTGTAGATCTTTTATTACAGATTTAAAGGAGGAGGCAGCAAATTAAAGCTAGGGATTCAGACTCCTACGGTTCCCCACATTCTTCTCTTTCACTGTATACCTACACAGTTCCTAGCTACCGAGTGCTTTTTGCCAGCTCCCGTGCTGGCACAAAAACATGTGCCTGTGCTGACCCAGAAGAGCTCTGGCTCTTCACCATGACTGGAGTTACTTCAGTGTAGAGGCCAACCCACGCAAAACCACTCATGTCACCCAGGGGCATGTATAACTCTTAATTGAAGCATTTCACCCAGTATGGGTTTTACCTTCGTAAGAGTATTTCTTCTAAGGACACAATACAACAAATCACTTCTCCAAACACCTAGAAAGCAAACATCCAGGTGTGCCGATTCCCTACTCTGCTGAGAGTTTGGCAGCTAACCTTCAATTTTGATTTCTTCCCTTTCTCAGCTTTAAGAGACAGAGTGGCATGGTTAAGAGGCTAGAGCTGCTGTTCAGGAGCTGCTTGCTGTGTGAGGAAGGGATTATAAGTCTAGCGATACGCAGGTTTTCACAGCCTTCAAGCTGTTTGGAAAGCAATGCGAGAATTTTAGTACCTTTCATCTAAGCGAAGCACTCTTGTTTGTGTGATCATGGCAAGGACTGCTGGGGGGAAGACGAAAGTGATAACTGAGTGCCAGAGTATATCACAGTCACTAGTGGATCCTTCAGCCAGTGTGTGGAGCCACTCAGCCATGTCTGACAGGGTAAAACAAAGAGCTTTTATTCCTGCATTACTTCAGGAAACAGCCTGAATGCATATGTACTGAAGATCAAGACAGACATAACCAAAGAAAAACCCAGTCAAGTTTGTGTGGCGAGGCGTCCCTCACCTTGTACTGCTCTATCCGCTCAGCATGGGGGAAGTGCACTATTGGAGAGAACTGGTGAACGTAGGGGCTCTGGAGCCCACCCTGGAAGAGGTAGCGGACGAGCATGGAGCTCACGTAGGTTTTGCCTGTTCCCGTTGAGCCGTGGAAGGACATCACGAGGGGTTTCACAGGATTCTGGTTCTCCAGGAACTCCCTCACTCCCTTCATCACCTGCTGTCTCACCAGGGGCTGCCCCACCAGATTCATGGCCAAGTCACACTCCAGACCTGAAGCAAAGTCAAACCGATATTTACCAAACGCAGGCTGAAATAGGTCTTGTTTCACACTGTGGCCACAGCACCGCGCCTGTCCAGTCTCTGAGGGCTGCTTCCTCAGGCCCTGTCAGCCAGCCCAGGCTGGAGAACGGCCCTGCCGCCCGGTCCTACCCCTCCGCGGC